CATTTAACGTCATGACATCCTGAAGTGGGGAAAGCATCAAAACAATCCAAGAGAACCAGCCTCCGACTTGTGAATTTTAGTGGTTTTTTTTTTCCCTCCAGTTTGTTGAAGTTGAAAGGGTTCTGACTTTCAACTTTCTGACTTTCAGGAGTAAAATTCAGGAAGGACGCTTGCAAAGCTTTTTCCCTCCCTTTACCACTTTATTCATAGTATATCATTGTCCGTCTTCTAACAATTAGTTTTATAATGTTTCAAGTTAATTATATATCATTGGGTTTGGTTTTGTTTGTTGTCTATTTTTTTTTGGGGGGGGGAGGAGGTGTTTTTGTTTTAACTACCTTTGCTATAATTATGGTATGCTGTTATTACGAGTTGAAAGTTTATCCCAGGATGCCACGTATTGTTTGAGTGTCTCCCCTTTTAACTGTCCACACCAAAGAAACTATTATTTATGAGCCAGCCCAACAGGATGAGCAGAATTTCAGCTGAAGGGTCTTGCAACCGATATCCTGAAAATAGAGACTACTTCAATGGCTAGCATTAACCAACATAGAGTCAGAACAGTTTGGGTTGGAAGAGACCTTCAAAGGTCACCTGGTCCAACCCCCCTGCAATGAGTAGGGACATCTTCAACTAGAGCGGGTTGCCCAGACCCACAGCGAGCCGGGCCTTGAGTGGCTCCAGGGATGGCACATCTACCACCACTATTTCTACAGGCTATTTAAGAACTGATTGCTATGCATTTAATCTCATTTCTAGAGTTGGTTGATTATAAAAAAAAAACAAACAAACAAAAAACAAACAACAAAACAAAAAAACCCCCACCAAAACAACCACAGAAATAAAATCCCCAAATGATGAAGAGAAACCTGGGGGGGGGAGGGGAGGGCAGGGAAGAAATCAGATACATAAAACATCTTTTTCCATACACTGACCTAAATACTTTAATACAAAGGTAGAAATATTAGAGATATGAATTCAGAAGACAGGCCTACCCCATGTTATTTTCAAAGTGATAGGAATCAAAACAGTTTAGTTTAGCAAAACAAGAGAATCAGATCCATTAAGGAATAAATAAGCATGTTACAGACTTGTTTCTGTTGAACAAGCAGACATTTTCAGGAACATGCAAATGTATCAAGCCACCTGTTACTAACCCAGTCTCCCATTCATGGACATAAAAATCCAGGTAAAAACCCCACAACGTAAGCATTTTTTTTAAAATACCAGCCTTACAAAACAACTGCTATGAACTGACTGAACAAGAGAGACAAAAAGAACTTTCCCCAGAACAACCCAGTTGGGTAAGGTCCCCCACAAGACACCAAGCAGTACATAAAGTGATATTTCAAGAACAACAATCTCCCTTTGCTGTAGGTTAGGAAATTGTATTAACCCACGTGTCTAAAATTTTCAAGAATTTTCCTTGTGGCACACCCACACTATCTCCTCTTTACACATGAAATGCTCCCAGTAAAACTGCTGTACGGCAAATAAAATTACCCTCTAAGTCTAGCTGTGAATACCTCTAAGCACACGACAGAAGAAGAATCAGCATGTCTTGTTTCAAGCACAAGCTGTCCTGCTTAAATACAGTCTGCCACACAGCAGCAGGTCAGAGTTTGGCCTCTCAAAATCCTTACAGCTGCTTTTCAGGTTGCTAAGGCTTAAACAACACTGACAAAACTCTGTCACACACACACCCAGACCAGCTGGTAAAAGATCTTCAGTGGTTCTCATTTTGACATGCCATTCTTTTCCCTTCACTTTTCATTCAGGTTATTATCCTACAGGGCCTTCCAAATTGCCAAAGTGAAATATGTCTTGTTTAGGGAGGAACGGTGCCACCAAAAAGCCTACATTTGTTAACTTTCTTTACCCTAAAATACCTGGGGCTATACCACACTGTAACATGGAAGAAATTCCAGATGAAGCTTGCTAACCCGTGGTTCATGGCAACACGCAGCCCATAACACCCCCCAGACCTACTTGTGGCCCCAAGATTTCAGAATGTCGTAAGAGCCAAGAACGCTGCCCAAAGCCCAGCACTTGAAAATTCTGGATTCACCGAAAGAGCTGGGACTGTTCATCATGGTGAAGAGAAGGCTCCAGGGAGACCTTATAGCAGCCTTCCACTACCTAAAGGGGGCATACAGGAAAGCTGGAGAGGTACTTTTTACGAGAGCATGTAGTGATAGGAAGAAATTCTTCACTGTGAGGGTGGTGAGGCGCTGGCACAGGTTGCCCAGAGAAGCTGTGGCTGCCCCATCCCTGGCAGTGTTCAAGGCCAGGTTGGACAGGGCTTTGAGCAACCTGGTCTAGGGGAAGGTGTCCCTGCCCATGGCAGGGGGTGGAACCAGGTGATCTTTAAAGCTCCTTCCAACCCCAAACCATTCGGTGATTCTATGATGATTTTCTATTCTCACACCCTGGTGACAACAGTACTGTGCTAGAATACACTCTGACATGACACTACTTATAACTAGTTCAACATTTTTTTTCTATGAAGACAGTACACAAAAGCTCAGGCAGAATTCTTAAGCACAGCTATACTTTTCCATGAAATACAGTAAACCAACTACAGTTTAGGAGATCCTAAAGCTTATAATTATATATGCCTGTATAAATAATTATAACTCACACCATTTAATTCTGCTCAGCGGGTACTGCTAATGTCTCAAAAGCAATTTAATGAAATTGAAAAAAACCCAAAAAACATATTAAAGTAACTAGTCACAAATAATACTTCCCAGCACAAATAATCAATCTGTAACACTGCATCATCCGATAAACACATGACTTCATATGTCCTTTCCATTTCTATTTATTTCCATAACATTAGTGTACTACAATTCTTTGCAGAACATTGTATAATCCACACACAGTGCCATTTTACATATTAACACTTTCAAATGTATTCCATGACAGCTCCTTTTACTATATTCATAAGCCTATTTTAAAACATTTCAGTTATGGTAATTTTTCTCCCATAATCTAATTAATGTGTCCTGTATGATTTCATAGTTACTGTAAAAAGTACAGCTGCATGACGCACGAGTTCATATTGTTGACTACAGTTTTACACAGTCTTCAAACTGTTTGGATTAAATAGCAGTAATGCTTATAAAACAGAACTTTCTCAGGAGTGCACAAGTTCACTAAGGAGCAGGGATTCTCAACAGATGGAATGCCACATGAGCAGGAGTACCTGCAGCTGCTGTAATCTCCACATGGTGCTGTACTGGGCCACACACAAGAAGTGTAACGCCTGCCTGTGTTATCACACAAAGGTTACCCACCTAAGAGAGGTGGGATGCTGAGGGTCCCTGTATCATCAATAGAGAAATTGAGAAGAATCATCTACTGGACATCTCTTTCTGACTTTAGAGACCCTAAACCTCTCACTTGAACTAGAAGCTTGAATTCAGTAGACCCACCAAAGAGATTGACCACTTTAAGAGTTCTTAGAATAAATGAGAAAGAAAGAACCAGATAAAATCAGAAATATCCCACAAAAGTAGAAGCAAATCCACTATTTTGAATATTAGAAAGTAATTCTAAAAAAAAAAAAATAAAAAATTTTTCTTCCTTTAAGGGACCTTTTGACTCTTTTGTTCCTTTCCTAATTTGTGCAAGTTGTTTCCCCCATCCCCTTTTTGATGAAGGAAAAAGAAAAAGTTCCTTCCCTTCTAACCTTCCCGTTTCTCCATTAGCATCTATAGCAATTCCTCTGATGCATAACATTACATCGTTGTTTTTTAAACAGAATTCCAAAGTTATATCATTAGGTATATCTGTACCAAAATTGGTTTTGAGCCCTGTATCAGCACTGCAGACAATTCTTATTGTAATATTGAGTGGCGTTATGAATAACCATGTCAAATCTGTTATTATATTGGCATGTGTGTCAAAACTCTTTCTTTCAAAGTGTTACTTTTTCCTTGTTTGTTAAGACAAACTTGCTAATCTTAGTCAAATTTGAATGCCCAAATTCACAAAGCAATCCCCCATAAGTGTCCTTAACACAATGAAGTCTCATGAGTAAATTTTCCTGGAACTGCACTCAGATTTATTAGTTCCCACACACAGCTATTGTTTAAAAGATCTGATTAAAGGGCCTGTTTACTGAACAAGTGTCAGTTGTGTTTCCAGTGGCACTCAAATTGCCTGTAGTATGGGGCAACTATGCTAAAGGAGAAAAATGTCCTTGTCAGCTGTAGTTTGAAATACTGTAAATTAATTGATATAAAACCCCAGAAGGTTTACAACATAGTGTCGGCATTTCTTCCTCTGACTACACAACACTGAATTTGCAAGTAAAGCTAAAAATATTTATAAAAATCAATGGTATCCTGTAGCAGCAATATAAAAGGTTAACATACATTACCAGTCTATCTTAAGATAGATCACACTGATGATGCTGAGAAGCTTCCTGTAAACAGGGAGAACATCTACCAGTGATCTCAGACAAAGTCAGGATTTCCTCTAGTCCTAAACAAAAATTAAATTAAAAAGTTTTGTTGCAGACCCTGTGAGGCCAGGATTTCATCTCCTCACTTCTTCCTAATGTTGAAGATTACACTATGGTTGCCCTTAAAGTGTCAACTTGGTTTCAAGAGTAAGGCTTTCATCTGAGTAGTTCTATAGCATCTTCTAAAAGTACTTTTGAAAGAATCTCAATTTGGGAAATAATCTCAATTTGGGAAATCTCAACTTCCAACATGTTTCACACTCATGACTGTTTCTGCAGAATGCTATTGGAAGACCAGGTAAGAGTGATAAATGTGAGAGCTCAAGCTCAGATGGTACCATTCATCATACTTCAGAAGGCACTGCGGGAGAACAATGACAATGACACACATAACAATAAAGATGAGGCACACTTAAGAGTTAAAAAAGAGTCTGTATCTGTTAATCTTCTTCCAAAATATATGAGGATCCATATTTACCTCTAACTCTGGTGTCAAATGAACTATGAAGATAGCTATATATTCAAGGACTGCATTTATAAAAGAAACATAGATTGTGATGGCTATTACAGTACACTCCATCTTAATGTAAAAATGCATCCAATTTCTTTTTGATATGTTCAAAAGCATCTTTCCCCATATAGTCTATTCGCCCTTCCTCCCATTTTTTCCGTTCATCTTCTGGAATTGGTTCTTGTGGTTTGAAGTGAATAGAAAGCTCTGAAACGGAACGTGCGACCTTGTTCTGTGGGAAGAACAGTAGAAAAAAAAAAAAAAAAAAAAAAAAGAGTCTTTTGGTTGACGTCCTTTCAGTACTATGAAGTTAAATCTTAAAATGTCAAACTTCTGCTTTGTACACTCCCAGCTGAAACAATAAAACAAACAGTATTCAAACATTCATTCCTGGTTTGATAATGTGATCTCATTTTCCCATCCTTTTACTACTTGCCATAGCATTTTTGAACATACCAAGCATTTACTTTACTTGTCTTAACTCAGACCTTGGCATATTCAGAAACAACACAATATTACAAATATGGCTTATTTAGGGTATCTCCTACAATAAACTGTAACCCTCTAACTGTGCAAATTTTGTCTTCCACAGGCTTTCATGTGAACATAAGTTCCTAGAATTTTTGGCCATGTGTTTTATCTGATCTCCAGTGAGATAAGTATTGTTTAGCACATGTTGGTTGTGCTGTGTACTGTACTATTTACAGGTCCCTGACACCCTGTCACCCCTGTCAGTGCCAAGTCTGGCACTGGTGTCACAGTGCCCAAGAATAAATGTAGTGCAAGATCACAAAGGAAAGCCTAGTAGCTTAGGCTCCATGCCTGACTTGCCGTACACTTATCTTCCATTTGCTTGGAAAGATCATTTCAGCAGGTAAAAAAGCAAACCAAACCAGAACAAAAAGATCCCAAACAGCTTTGCTTGCATTAGTATTGGAGAGCTACATGCATAACACCATGCATTTATTACTTTGGGGCTAGCACACAAAGCCATACATTTAAAGACTAGAAGTTTTTTAAAGAAAACTAGAAAGGGATCATGCTCCAGTATTGGAAGCAATTAAAGAATTACATATCTAAAAGCTTAAAGAATATATTTACATATTGCATCATAATTAGTTGAGATTTCCCAAAATGATGGTGGCAGCACCAATTGCCTGTTATTGTTAATTCATGCAATTATCTACAGATGTACATTGCAGAAAGCTACATGTACCAGTTCTGAGGTTTCCTGAAACACAGGATGAAATACAAGTTGTTCTGAAGGTCTGTCAGGCTCAGAGAGATGGACGTTAGAACCTCTTTGTTCAACTTCACATACAGGTTGCTAAAATACAGCCACTGAGGTTTTATTAGGAGAATATTTTTTTCATAATTTCCTTATAATGAGAATTCATACAATACAAAGCAATTTCAGTCTTGGGAAGGGGAAAGCAGTGAATGGGAGGAAAGGGAATGAAACATCACTAAAGACAAAATTCATCTTGCTCAGCTTTAGATATCAAAATGGCATTGAAACTAAGCTCCTACTAGAATCAATCTAGGTTAAGTACCTCCAGAGGGCATCACATCTCATCCTAAAACAGGTTCAAAGTGGCTGTCATTCTTCAGTGACAGCCTGGAAAGCTAGTTTATAATAGATGCCTCCACTCACAAGGCCAAAAAAATCTCATTTTAGGATAATAGCTCTATAACTCATGAGCTTTTTATATGCATAGAATAAGAACTGAACAATGCATTCCCAAACAGAGGCAAAAGAGATTGTCCAAAAGATACTGCCCCAAGTATTTGCCTTTGCCAGCTACCAATATATAAATGAGTACACAGACCCCAGTCCCTTCCACCAGAAAAATCCCACAAGACTAAAGCTGAAGCAAAGCAACAAAAAGTGGAATAATGGTGTTCCTCAGTAAGAAGAATATCAAGCTATTAATTTCTAATTAATACGATCTTCTGATAAACCAATCCTACTAATTAAAAGATGTTTACATTTGAATTAAACTACTTAATGTTAATATTATGGGGGTTTTTACCTCCTCTCCAAAAAAAAAAAAAAACCCAACTTGAAAATGTGTCCCTATTTGGTTTGAGCATGTGAGGCACACAAGATAAGAATAATTTATTTGTAAAGGGTATGTTAAGTTATAGAGCTGGAAGGTTTGCAGTTTTCTTTCAGCCTCTCCAAGCTCAGGGTAGAAAAGAAGGAAAAGAAGATTCCAGTTTTACTGTATGGAGTATCTATAGTCTAAAGGGATGAAGCACCAAACTGTCTTCCTCTCACTAGAGGGTAGTCCACAAGTTACAATAGCAGATGACATTAACATTAACTTCATATTTTCCCAATTGTACCTTGCTGTAGCATGGTTTGTCATACAACATGTAATGACTTACACCTGCAGAAACACTGTGCTATTATGTCCAGCTTAATTCCTGCATAAAATAAGGAGAGTCAGTGCAGCAGAAACACCCAAACACAAGAATTGTGACAAAAGAACCAGGACCCCAGCAGTGTTCATCAGTGGATTCTTTTAAAACACTCCTTATTGCCCAAACCACAAAAACCACATTTTATTAATTACCTAATAACTTTCAATACCTAACCTCTTCATAAAATTCAATGCAATCTCATTCAACCTCCCAACACATCATATATGTGTCACTGAGGATTAAGAAATACTCTTTAGACTATTCCTAGTGCTAGCAAAAGAACTCAATAGCTCCAGCTAACTTGAAGAAGATAAAAACTCCCAGATCAGAAGCATAATTTAAAAATATCATTTTAGTATATCTTTTATTTTTTTACTGTGAAAAGTAATATACAACATACTTACAGCTTCAAAAGCTAGTTCCTCAGGTGAACACACTGCAGCGTGTACTTCATGTGTCTGCTCTGGAAGCACAGGCGTTTGCAATGAATTGGCCACACAAGGGCTGACCTTTTTCAGAGTAATTTCAACTCCACTGAAAGTGTGCTAACAAAAATAAGAACATCTCAGCACTGAAATACAATTTTGAAGGAAAACAATATCTTATTTACAACGGTTGCACTTCTTTAGAGGAATTTCAGCATTAGTGGAATAAGTTAATAAATGCACAAGAAGTTTGTGGTCCAAGATTCAAAGCATGCTACAATTTACATTTTTGAACCCATGAGTATGCCAGCATCACCAGGAGATAAATCTAACAGGTATTTCCACCTTTGTGTTACCATAGATGAAATATTTTTTAAGAAATTTTGCAGTAAAGAAATAAAGCATATTAAAATATGAGATCAAAAGGAGAAAGACAAAATTGGGGATGTAGTTGAACCCAGGAAAAGGGGAGAGGTGGAGGGGAGGTATTTAAAGATTTAGGTTTTATTTCTCATTACCCTACTCCAATTTGAGTGGTAATTAATTAATTTCCCCAAGTCAAGTCTGTCTTGCCCATAATGGTGACCAGTGACTGATCTCTCCCTGTCCTTATCTCGACCCATGAGCTTTTTGTTATATTTTCTCTCCCCTGAGCAGTTCAGGAACGAGTGATAGAGCGGTTTTGGTGGGCACCTGGCATCCAGCCAGGGTCAACCCACCACACCATGTAATTCCTTCCTCAAGCAAACACATAATTTTCAGATTTTTTATTTTGATTTTTTGTCATTTCGGTATATTCCCACTACCCTCTTGTCAGTTACCTTGCATTCCTCAGATTCTGATTCTTCCATCTTTTGAAGTTTTTCTAACAGAGGCAATATACTGGCACTGTATATATTCCACCAGAGGGAGAGAAATGACAGTTGATGTAAAGATCCATCAGTGGTGCCATCCTGCATAACTTTCTTTGTTTGAAGGTTGTATTTGTAGTTCCAGGGCTTTGTTGCTCCCAAGAAATGAACAACTTTGGCATCTCTACCGAAACTGTAGAAATTAAACAACACAGGTCTATACAACAAGTATTTGGTTTTCTTTAGCCTACCTAAACTGCTAAAGAAACATGCTTACTCTCACTGGTGAGGTAATTTCGACATTTTGCGACAGCAACACATTCAATATGAGTATATGTATTCATTTTTTTTTTCTATCTATCTTATTAGTTTAAGGGATCTTGCTTAGCATATAGAAAACAAATGGCTGCATTGCCATTTGCTTCCACGTGCTGATTCTAGTAGAAAAGATCATGAAGGAAACTGACCATCCTCCTGTATACTCTGTTCACAAATAAATATCACTTCAAACACTAAATCAACAAAACTGGTTATTAATGAACCCATACTAATGCATCACTAAATGCACCACCCTAAGTTCACCTTCCAGTAAGAGTTTTTTGTGCAAGTGGAACAGTAATTCATGACACCCTAAATCCAACTTGTCTTCTGCCAGAAAAACCTCTAACTGCATTGTTAGAACTCATATAATTACCAGTACAACTTCTGTTTCATAGAAGAACCTGAAAAATGGGTTTAAAAAAAAATTAAAAATACAAAACCAACCAACCAGACAACCAAAAAAACCGAAACACTTTCCCATAGAACTGATAGGAGAAACAAAGGAACAACTTTCAAAGTAAAGGTGTCGGAACCTAATGCTAAAGTAATCTACATCTGTTCAAACATCACAAAAGCTTCCCTGAAAAAAAGCATATAAGACAGTACAGGCAACTCTGGGACTCTGTTTCCAGATGCCAGATACTTATATTGCATTTAAGCTTCTACTTGCACAGTTTTTATATAACATCATTTGTGACTACTGTAATTTATAATCAACAGAATACGCCTTTATTATTGTCTCTATAAGAAGATGTTTGTTTACAGTCAGTCAGAAGTGTTACTACTTACTGATTGAAAGCAGGAACATAGGTGTATACAGCACTGCTGCTTAAGTTATAGAGGAAAGGTAAGTGTTTGTCAATATCTGCTGTTGCCCAGTTGCTGAAGAAGCTATTCAACAAGCCTTGATCACCTCCTAAAGAATATACAAACCAGTATTAGTACAATTATTCGTACACTCAAATTTACACTAAAATTTTGATCCAAGGATGGGAGTGAAACTGGTGTGTTCATGGCACTGTAACTTGGACTTGAAAATATGGCCATGTGAGCAAGTACGAGTAATACCTGATCCACTCCGATGCAAGTTCGGGGTAAATGAAGTCCTATTGTAAGATATGAAGAAAGAAGTAGGAAAAGGATTTGGTCTCCCTCAGAGCAGAAGACTGAATATCAGCTGTATTTCTGTCTCCTAAACCAGACAGCAAAAACTTACTGAGCAAGACTCAGACACAATGTTCCTTCATTGACATTTTCTGGGAAGCACAGTCCGCAGTAACTCAATGGGTCTTAAGCATACTGTAAGGGGCAGAGGTCTGCACCTTAAACTTTTGAGGGGGCACAACTACATAAAGCCCAGAGAACTCCTGCCATCCTCTATTCTGCCTGAAAGCGAGCAAGCTATGGAAAAACAGCTTACTTGAGGAGTCTGTTTAGCACTTCAACCCTATGCCCTGCCCCTTACCATCAAAGCTGCCGTGTTCAGCTGCAAACTGGAGCAGTAGGTTGTAAGTTTTCAGAGATGGTCGGAACACAAATACACCACTATTAAAGCAGTCAGGCCAGCCAGAGTCAGGAGCTGCTGAAAACTCTTCTCGATCAAACAATTCATCAACATTGCAAAGCACCTTAGAGACAGTAGGAAAAGAGGAAAATTGTTAGAGCAAAGGTTTGTCTGGAGCATGAGTTGCTAAACCAGTACCAATGGAGTGAATTGTTAGTTTGGCCAAGTATATAGCTTGCAGAACATAGAAGCAGTGACAATGCAAAATACGATAGGGGTCAGAACATCTATTTTTAAATATAATAAGGCAACATTAATTGTGGTTCTCCATGATTTCTCTGATAAAAGCACAAAGCCTGTGAAATTATTTCAGGAATCTCAGAGACCCTCCAGAAGGTCCCTTTAAATAGTATAACATACCACAAGAACACATCATTTCCTTCTTTCTTAGCTCACCTTCCCATAGTTCATTATTCTCGGTCACTGCAACAGAGCCAAATGAAAGCTGGGAATCCAAGTAATTTGAGCTAGCAACAGACTGACTGGAGTGGTAGCAGTAAAACTGTCTCTTGTTACCAGTTTTCTAACGTAAGCTATGCTCAGAGGTTTGTTTTGATTTGGTTTTTAAGTTTCACAAGGTAGTGGGAAAAATCAAATCAGGTGAAGACCCAGATCACTTTTAAAGCTGGTGGGAAGACAGATGTGCAGCTGCTGAAAGCCTGAGCCACTGTGCAAAGCAGGGGAAAAAATGTTTCTTAGGAGAAAGATCACTTCATTAAATTTAAAACAAAAAAAAAATATTTGCCTTCCTCCTTTAACTTTAATGTAAAGCAGGAAATCATAAGCCTTCCTCCCTCAGCCCTTGAGAAGAATAACTTAATTTGGTTGCTAATTTAAATACAAGCTTATTAAATTAAAATGCATCACAGTCTTCCAAAGTGAGCCATGTAAGTGCAGGGGAAGGCTGACACAACTGCACTTGCCAAAACTATGGCCGTTTTTAACTCTCTACCTCCAAAAAGTAATTTAAAAATATATTTTAAAAGTCATTAACATTCCCAGGATTTTTTCTTTTTTTGCATTTTAAAACTGGACTGACTTCCTAACCAAAGTCCAAACAAATATGTATGAGAGATCTACTATAAACATCTGTCAGAAGCCCACTTGCACAGAGTAAGTTTGTGATATCTTTTGAGGACAGCCCTGGGGCTACTCTCAAACCAGGATTAATTTCTATGCAGCCAGAGTAACTGTGAGCATTGCCAGAACATGCCAGCTGGAGTTCCTGTGACCTTGGAACCACCAGCAAATCTGGTCACTTCATAGGCCAGTAGGCTGCCTGACGAGGAAGTATCCCACACTCAAAAGCAGTTCTTTGAGGAAGACACAAGTGTTTCCACAGCTCCCACTCTACTCACCAAAGTGTCTGCATCCATGAAGACACATTTGCTATAATGAGTAAGAGTCCAACAGTGAAGCTTAGTGAAGGTTACACCCAATTCTGGCCTCTGCATCAGAGCCAAGTGGACTGAGTCAGCACTATCAAGCACTTTCACCTCAGTTACTTCGTCAAATACGCTGCGGAGGACAGACCTATCAGAGAGAGCAGTGAAGAGAAAGAACGAAATTTAGAGAGGTTCAGAGTTAACTTCTGGCATGAAAACAGTAACACACAGCACCGCATTTATTATGACAATAACAAGGGCTAGATTGATTGGTTAGGATGAGAAGTCAGAAGTGAAAAGCTCTTGTTAACAGCCTTCTGAAGCGATATTAATTTATCAGGCCATAAACCATTTTACTATGGGGTAAGCACATCCCAAAAGTGACAAGTGCTATATGGAGAAGCAGCCAGTCCTTATTTTAGTTACCTACTCTTCTATAGAAACACAAATGAAAATTAAAGCAGCTTCCATCCTGCACCATTGACTATAAGTAACAGCACCATACTGTGTTCCCTGCGCATTGCACAGGATGTGGCATGCATTGCCAGCACTGTCATTTGCACCTGTCATGCCCAAGTATATGCAGCTTCAAAACTGCTCCTTTTAAAACTGACCATATATACTGGCTCATTACTACAAATCCTCTCATATGAGACTTTTAGGAAAACATCTTTTTCTATGCATATCTTTTCATGGGAATTTTATAGGTGATACCAAAGTAGGTAATTTTCCCTCAAGACACAAGGAAGAGAGTCTTTAAAACTCTATTTATTCATTTACATTACACTATGACTGCAAAGTCCTGGATGTCATATAAACACAGCAAAATGAAAGCCTGTTCTGATTATCTAGATTACAGAGTCATTAGCTTTTGCCTGACTGATCTGCAAGGGACAGGAATTAACTGGGAAAGAACTAAGAGTAAGTACAGATTTTTAGAAGCATAGTTCAGTGATGTGCTTTTTTTTTTTTTTTTAATACTATGCTTGATTAAAAATGTATTATAAAGGTTTTTCTCCCCACTGAATGAGGAGGAAAAAAACCTGATGGTCTTGATATCCACCCAGATGTCAAATGTACACAGTATTCCCTCAGGAAGGTTCCAGTGTTCTAACAAAATCCATATTCCAAAAAGCCTGTAGAAACGTATTTCTCTACATTTAATCATAGTAAAAATGGAAAATCCTTTTCTTGAGCCAGATCAATTGCAAATACTTTCACATGGCATACAGAAATCAGGAACTTGCACACTTCTTAAGCCATAGCAGAGCTAAGAGTTTAAGCCACTATGGCATGCCATGTTCCTTTTAACAAGCAATACAGTCCTCCAAATAACAGGGCTTGAGTTCAACAGATTCACTGAGATTTATGCATAAGCAGTTCTGTAGTGCCCATAAAAATCACACCCCAAATTGGAAAGTGATTAAAAAGAAGCAAAAATTTATTAATTTTTCATCATGATAGCCATGCACCAATATTTTAAGAAGATTTGTCATATAAAACTGAGCCTATGGGTTTTTGAGTTCTTATGTCACAGTTGGTTATTTATTGCTCTTTCTACAAGAGAAAGACTTGGGGAGGGAAGTGGGGGAGAAACAGTAGTGCCTTTATTTTGTGTCAAAGCAAAACATGAAAAAGCTAGCTCCTAAACTTTCAGTTTATGTTACCAATTATGGGCTTAAGACAACTTCCAGACACAAGCTCTCCTTCTGCAAGTGAATTCCTATTAGGCTTACAATCTTACCATGAAGATTATTTGGAGCTCCTTTCAGAAATCACTAGCCAAGGGGGAAACTTCTAGGAATAATGCTGTGAAATCCACAGGAAGCCTATTAAAATCTTCCATGCTGTTGTTTATTCTTTCATAACATCACACTCCAAAAATACATGAACACTTACCTCAACCCACTGGAAACCTCTGGTGTAATTAGTACTGCCAATTTCCTAGACGTTCTATGGTTCCTCAATGACTGTCCAAGAACCAGAGCACCTTGACAATACACATCATTGGTAGCAAGGGTCACAAAGGCTTGATCTGTTACTGTAAGCAAACATTCAGAAGAGTGACTTTACAGGTTTAACATTATCTCTTTTGGCAGGTTCCTTCCTCCTCCAGCTAACTCACAGGCTGCGGCTAACAAGCTGCACTTCCTGCGATAAGCTCTTTTCCCTCCCAAACTCCCCCAGAAGACACAACTGGATAGAAAGCCCAGTGAATATGACTGCAGAATGTATGTTTCTGAATTTTATTATCTTTTGTTTGCCTCATTTACATGATAACAGGTATGAAGTTTTTGGACTAACCTTAAACAAACAATTACCTGAGTCTTATTGCCTAAACACAATGACAGTCAAAAAAGCCAAACTGTAAATATTTAGATTTTACATTTAACTAACACAGTGTAATACAACTGATAAGGAAATGTTCCTGTTTATACAGTACTGAAAGCCAAGGAAACAACAGGATGTTTAGTACAGCCAGGAAGGTCCTTCTTTCCATAACATCACTTCATCAACCAAACAGGCAGTATTCTTTGCTCTATCCTCTTTGCACTGAAGTAACTAGTGCTGGCTCAAATACACTTAGAAGCTAAGGATCCCTACCCCAAGTAGCTCCAGAAAATTAGAAGTGTTCCTCGCTGTGAAGAAACACGTGGGGAAAAGTGTAGCAATATAGAAGAAAGCAAGCTACACTCTGGCACAACAGGAGACATAATGTATCTTGCAGAGATACCAGGCCTGTGGCAGTATCACCAAGGGCTGCTGCTTCAGCTCTGCCCTCTGACAGAACCACTGTTGTTGAGGTTCTCCTGGGGAGAGCCAGAACCTATGATTCAGCAAGGTGAACAGCCTTCTTGGAGCAGAAGGAATACCTCAGCATTCTGGGCTGCAAAATTAACCAAAACAAGATGAGCGGGTCACACAGATGAGGGGAATTCCACTGAGCTCTACAGACCTTCAATAAATACTTGTTTAAACCCACCATCATCTTAAGGGACAAGCAATTATGTTAAATAAATTAAAGGAACCAAACAATAACAACAACATAAACACCCTGTCATACGGTTTCCAGGCTCTCTGAGAGACACTAGGAAAGAATCTCACAGAACTAGTTGCAGAGAACCTCACAAATGACCTCATGGCAGCCCCAGCCAGATGCTGCCAAAATGAACACGTTCAAACCTCTAACCTAACATCAAGGTATACAATGAAGGACAGTTGGTGCTAGTGACAAGCTGTAGGATACTAAATATACTACATGTCCTCCAAATACAGAGCACAGCACAGCCCCACTGGTGTGTTGTCTTCTTTCCCCTTTTTTGCCCTACCTGCCACTCCTCGCCAGCCAGACCTGACTGAATTCAAATCAAGCACATACACCTTACATTTGCTGACACTGCAACAGATTCCTGCACTTCCGGAGAATCCCAGTAGTGTTGGCCAAAAAGAATGAATCATCCATGCAAACTTAAACCAGTTTGCAGGTCCCTTTTATCCTGTAAAATAGTTCGCAGGCTTAGACAGTTGGGGTTGTTTAGCCTGGAGAAGAGAAGGCTTGAGGGAGACCTTGTAATAGTCTTCCAGTACCTAAGAGGGGCCACAAGGAAGCTGGGAGGAAATTTTTAGAAGGTCTTGTAGCAATAGGAAAGGGGGAATGGTTGTAAACAGAGAGAGGGGAGATTCAGATTAGACAGTAGGAAAAAAATTCTTTACTACGAGTGTGGTGAGGCACAGGTTGCCCAGAGAAGCTGTGGCTGCCCCATCCCTGGTAGTGTTCAAGGCCAGGTTGGACAGGGCTTGGAGAAACCTGGTCTAGTGGAAGGTGTCCCTGCCCGTGGTAGGGGATCGGAACTAGATGATCTGTGAGGTCACTTCCAACCCAAACCATTCTATGACTCTGACGCTTATCCCTCAGCTAAGCAAACTCCTGTAACATTTTTAATCACAATTTCCAGAAGAAGCAAATGAAAAAGGGAACTTTCAAATCTCCTGTTACCATAACAGCTTGAGTAAGTTATGGGTGGTTTAGAAATAATGAATAAGGAGTTGCTTACATGAAGAGTTCTGAAAGGACAGTTGTGCAAATAAACTGCTGCTACTGCAGTTTTCCAAAAGGTTAAACAAATAAATCTAAGCACACATAAAAACCAATACAAAACAAAACCACTGAAAGTTACTTTAGCAATAAAATTATTCTCAAAAGACACAAAGAGTCAGCAAAGAAAAGCATTTTTGTGTTAGGCAACAAGCATCTTCAGCCAAATAAAGGTAATAAAACAGCTACTGAGAGGAATGTGGGAGGTAGGTTAATGCAAAAAGCAAACTGTGAAATGAGTGGGAGTTTAAATCTTAAAATACTTAAATAACAGCCACAAAACTGAACACAATCTTCTTGTGTCTTCAAATTCTTTCAGTTACAGAAGCTGAATCTTTACTTAAGTAATACATGTAAAAATACACAAGCTAGTCATCAAATAGTTCAGTGAGCTGGTATGGCAAATTACCACATCCTACATATGCTTTCATGCCCTGTACTGCTGAGGTCAGAACCACAAGAAAGCAAACTGCCAAACAAACACAGCTTCTAAGAAACTCTTGCTAACACTTCACACAGAAAAGAAACCAGTTGTTTGGTTTCAGAATCAGATGTGGGATACATATTATGGCCTTCCTAATAGAGTGAATCATTACAGAGATAATTCAATAAACAAACTATGGACTGCAACCATGCCACATTAAAATATTCCTGGTGCAAAGACAGAAGTATGTCCTAGTCATTTTAAGATCATACAGGGGCATCAGTAATCCATTAAGGATCCTTAGGGAGATTAAAAATCAAAAGATTTTATCATTACTGTTCTTTCATCTTATCCCTGTTTTCAAGGGGAAAAAAAAAAAAAAAAAAACCAAAAAAACGACTTGCCTCATTTATAATGTTCTTTGGAACACTGTCACTATAAGTAAATGTTTTATTTTCATAACTTAAAACTAAGGATCAGATTTTCACATACAGTTGTCAAAGTACCCTGTTTACCTGAAAATTCCCATTTAACTCAAATCAAGGACAATACTGTGTTAAATCCCACTGACTGACTAAGCCACAAAAGAAGATTTGATCTTTTAAGTTTGAAAGCCAAAGGTGTAGAAAATTAAAATCATTGCAGCTGGATTTTGGGGGTTGTTTGGATTTTTCCTATAAGTGTCAAGCACACCATTATGCATAACTTTCAATTCCATGTGCTGAATGACAATAGGAATTTTCACAGAAAACACCTAGCATGAACAGTATTGAGTTTTCAAGCAAATTGTTTTCAAGCTGTGGAACCCTATGGCTAATACCATTAATGCTTAGTGAATTATGAGAAAACTAAGTGTATGGTTAGAACCACATTAAATCCATGTTGTATGAATTTATAAATCTGCTCATTTCTGTTGTCTGGATTGCCACACAGCACATCAAGACGCAAATTCAGAAATCACTAGTCTCAGCAGTGGCTCCTCAATTTTAATACCTAGCAACAGTTTCTTAGAACAAACTGAGGATTTTCAAGCAAGTAAGTACGATGAGTTATTTTAGCAGCCACTCTGCAGCTATAGATAGCAACAAAGTCAAGACAGTAAAAGTAATATGAATCACTACACTTAGGGTGATCTTATGTGAAACCTTTTAACAGGTTGTTTTAGCCAAAATCACCGACTTCTTATGCTACTTACTCATAGCAGAAGTACCTCTGACACTGCCAGAGGCAAAATTCTTCAACAGGCTTGAGAAAGAATTCCAGGGCAGCCAAAAGCTTTACTTAGAATCTGCACTAGCAAGCAGACAGGGTGGTGCTCGATTTGATATTCAAAGAAAAAAAAAAAAGAGAGAGGGAATGAATAAACACCAGGTACCCACTGAAAGTCAGGACTGACCCAGTAACAATCACTGAATGAACCATGTGCACCTGCCAGCTTCAAGACATGTTTCAGTAGCATAAGGTTTATTTCCATAATCTACTAGACACAGCTTTTAAAACATATTCCGGTCTTTCTTCTGATAGACAGAGAAAGTATAAACATGTTCTAGCTATGGCTCCTGGAGTAACAATTCAAATTTGCCAAGTTGCCCATTCCAAAATTGCAATAGGAGGCCAGAGAGTCATATGCTATGACTTTCCTACAAGTATATTCTAAATAACACATTGCCTCTTTATGCATAAAAGTAAGAGTAGATAAATCAACAGCTAAAATCCTCCAAGAGGCTGGTTAGGTCCCCATTGTGTACTGCCATTCACGCTAACCAGTCTCAGTGAAGATGTATTAGACCATGGCAAAGATAAAGCAAGCTACAGGCCTTCTCACCTCTCTGGCTCAGCACAACTGTAACAGAAGCGCTTGGGACAGAAAGCTTTTCTCCAGCTGGCACACACAACCTTAAAAGCAGTATAAGTAGGTAAAATTAATAATGATGCCAGACAATAACCTGTGTCAGACCACCATCAGAAAATATTATACAAGTTTTTAGCAAAGAGGCATTTCTTGACCAAGTAAACAAATGACAATTTTAATCCCCATGCTTCCTCTAGAAGTACAAATGTTATCTATTGGCCTGGGTCCAATGGTAAAACACTTACATTACTGATGAAGGTGTCACACCAACACTTTACACAGACCTTTTTATAATAGAATATGAATTGGCATTTGATGGCATGCAATATTTCTCTTGGTTTAACAAAGTTCTGTCTGATCCAAAACCAGATTCTTTCTTACCCTTTACTAAAGCAATGCTGAATTCTATTAGACAGGCTTACAACTGTTATCTTGGAAGACTACAGAAAAAGGGCTTACTTCTCAATTTGTGTAGCTTTTACCATGTATGTTTCAATTAAGAACTGTTACATTCTCCTTCAAGATCCTGCAGTTCTCCTATTCAACACATAGTAAATGATCCTTATGAAAAGTAAATGCAACAATATTATAACATGCAAATAAGTGTAACAAATAAGCACTCAAAAGTAGTCCCAAAATAGTAACATGCCAGTTTGGAAACAA